AAAAGGACAGCGTCAGCACGCTACACCTCGGCGTCACCGAGCTTACTTAATTTACTTTTGCATTGTATAGCGTCACTCTTATTTTGCATTTTACTGTAGTAAGTAGTCCCTTGTCAATAAAGTTATTTTTTAAAAATATTGTTCTTGGACTTAGAAACATCATTTTATATATATATATATATATATATATATATATATATATATATATATATATATAAAAATATCAAGGACAGTAACGGGTTACTGGTAAACAACAGACAATTGAAGGTAAACCGGAACGACCCAATACTAAGGAAGCAATAAAAAACAGGTGCTTCAAAGTGAGTGTCTTTTATTAGTAGTCAAGCTTTCGCCACATAATTTTTGGGCTTCATCAGAACTTGCTGTAATGGAAAAACATTCTTTACAATCATCGTAAATTAAAGATGTTATATTTAATATTACCTTAACGTTGACACTATTTCTTAGTGTAAATTATTGCAGATGTGGAACTACACATTGTTTTTCAAATACAAACCAAAACGCATCTCCTACTTAGAGGAAGACGGCAAACAAAGCTTAAATTAAATAATTATTAAATTTGTTATATTTTAATCACCATGTGGCCGGTATTATTTTTGACAAGACATTGATTAATTAAGTCATGTGTCATATCGACTGTCACTTATCGATACGGCACCTGTCTCAATTAATTCTTCTTTTTGTTGGGTATAAGACACTACCTTTCTTCAGTCACATTATTATGACTGAATAATGAATTTCGTTTAAAATCACAATTAAAATTGAATATATGTATACACACATATATACATATATATATCCATATACACATATATACACATGCACACACACATACGCGTGTATATAGTTCCCGTTCTATATGAGCATATCATGTTTAAAATTCTTTCGGTTTGTATTTAGTGTTGTATATAGTGGTCAACACTCGGTAAGATGTATGTATTACATACCTTCTGTTAGAGAACTAAGTGTATCATGATGCTGATGGATGTAAAAATAAAAATAAAAGTTGGAACTTGTTCTCAAAAGGGAGGTAATACATCCGGATAGATGTTAGTGTATATCACAGATATTTCGTTGTTTTTTTACATTCATTTATGTTAGTAGTATAAACACAATATGTCCAAAGAAGGGTCGGACATTTACAGATATGCTAAGATTTAACAATAGACAATATAGTCTAGTTAACTGAACATAAAATATACAAAAGGAAAAACATTCTTTGTATATGACGTTAAGATGTAAAATGTTTTTGTTTTTATTTAAAATTATTAACATATTGACTTGTAAGTTAAATTGAATAAAAGTATAAATTTAGTGCAGGCAATCAACTAAGTCATAAGAGGTCGAAATACATCAAACGTACGATTCAGTGAAGTGTGGATCAGCAATGTTATGTAATTCTTGTGTAATAAGGTGGTAGTTTTTTATTTTTAGTGAATTTCTGTTGTAAAACATAAGTATAGATGGAACTTAAGTTATCAACATCTTTTTTGATCAACATCAACAAAAAAAAAAAAAAAAAAAAAAAAAAAGATGTTGATAACTTAAGTTCCATCTATACTTATGTTTTACAACAGAAATTCACTAAAAATAAAAAACTACCACCTTATTACACAAGAATTACATAACATTGCTGATCCACACTTCACTGAATCGTACGTTTGATGTATTTCGACCTCTTATGACTTAGTTGATTGCCTGCACTAAATTTATACTTTTATTCAATTTAACTTACAAGTCAATATGTTAATAATTTTAAATAAAAACAAAAACATTTTACATCTTAACGTCATATACAAAGAATGTTTTTCCTTTTGTATATTTTATGTTCAGTTAACTAGACTATATTGTCTATTGTTAAATCTTAGCATATCTGTAAATGTCCGACCCTTCTTTGGACATATTGTGTTTATACTACTAACATAAATGAATGTAAAAAAACAACGAAATATCTGTGATATACACTAACATCTATCCGGATGTATTACCTCCCTTTTGAGAACAAGTTCCAACTTTTATTTTTATTTTTACATCCATCAGCATCATGATACACTTAGTTCTCTAACAGAAGGTATGTAATACATACATCTTACCGGAGTGTTGACCACTATATACAACACTAAATACAAACCGAAAGAATTTTAAACATGATATGCTCATATAGAACGGGAACTATATACACGCGTATGTGTGTGTGCATGTGTATATATGTGTATATGGATATATATATGTATATATGTGTGTATACATATATTCAATTTTAATTGTGATTTTAAACGAAATTCATTATTCAGTCATAATAATGTGACTGAAGAAAGGTAGTGTCTTATACCCAACAAAAAGAAGAATTAATTGTATTGGGTCGTTCCCGGTTACCTTCAATTGTCTATATATATATATATATATATATATATATATATATATATATATATATATATATATATATATATATATATATATATATATATATATATGTATATATATCTGATCACTGAAAATCATCAGAAAAGTAAGATCACAGAGAAGACGGTATTTGTGTGTTTGAAGATTAGAAAAAGATTTAGTAAGAATGAAAAATTCCTCCCCGTAGAGGCTAATCAAATATTTGGATAAATTTCCAAGGTCAGATAAATAAAAATCACTAAGTTCTTGGGAAGAACGGCGTTTAGAATTTAATGACACCTTTGTCATTTGGCCTTATGGTAAAGACATATTATATCTTTTTCTTTCCCATCTAAATGAAATACATCCCAGCATTTAATTCACGATGGAAATAAGTCTGAAGCATCTCTGCCATTATTTGATGTTTTTATTCAGAAAAACCCACCTCACAGCTTTTCCTATTCTGTGTACTGGAAACCCACTCATACAAACTGTTATCTCAATGCCCAGTCGCATCATCACCCCGCCTAACTCAATTCATTTATCAACACTTTTATTTCCCGTTCTATAAGACTTAGCGCCAACAATTGCAGGTCGCAGGTCATCCGAAATCACTTCGATAAGGCAAAGACTCTTACTCTTACGTGATGTTTGATAAGGAATACAACACGCCTTGCATTGTTTTTACACTTCAAAAGATTTGTCACATTTTTTATACAAAATATTGTTATACATATATTTTTAATTTCCGTACAGTAACTATAGTTTATTTTAAAAATAATTTACCATTTAATTTTTTATAATTGATGGATTCGACCGTTACTTGATGAAAATTCATTTTATGTAACAATAAAACACTGAAAACTTTGTTTTCAAACTTCCACAAAATTTATTTTAAATCTTATCACTACTTAAACAAATTAAGCTAACGATAGAAAATTCAAAAGCAATACTAAATCCAATAGAACAGAAATACCTCAATATCATGAACGCACAGCCTCCTAAATTATACTCTTTCATTAAACTACACAAACCGGATCACCCAATAAGACCTGTAGTTTCTTTTTATACAGCTCCGTCATACAAACTTTCAAAAACACTGTTAGAGATTATTTTAGAACACACTAAATTTTCACCTAAATTTACCATAAAAAATACAATAGAACTAGTTAATAAAATACAACATTTTCAATTACCTGACAACTCCAGATTAATTTCATTTGTCGTAAAAAATCTTTTTCCTGGTATCCCTCCTACAGAAACTTTTATTCTAGTAAAAATCCTTTTAGACCAAAATAGTACAAATCCAATAATTACATCTGAAATTTTACATTTTCTTGAAGTTTGCATAAACCAGGACTACTTTGAATTTAATAATAAAATATATACAAATAACAGTGCAGGACTTATAATGGGTAATCCTCTAAGCCCATTACTATCAGATATTTTTATGGATCATCTAGAGACAAATATTTCAAAACATCCCGTATTCAAACAGTTTTTATATTGGTGGAGATACATAGACGACGTACTGGTATGTTTCACAGGAACTAACAGGCAACTCGACCAATTTTTGTCTTATATTAATTTACTTCATAGTCATATTGAATTTAGAATAGAAACAGAACAAAATCAATCCGTACATTTTTTAGATTTAAAAATTAGCAGACTTTAAAACAAACATGACTTCTCCATATTTCATAAACCTACCCATACTGACACGACTATACACAATTCATCATCCCATCCAATACAACATAAACTGGCAGCTTATCATAGTATGTTACATAGATTAACCGAAATTCCGATGTCAAAATACAACTTTGAGACAGAATTAAATATAATTAAGCAAATAGCAGTAAACAACGGATACAACGAACAAACAATTAATAAAATGTTAAATCAAAAACTACACAAGAAAGCCCTGAAATTAGTATTTCCACCACCAGAGAAAAAACCCAGTACCTTCTGCTCGATTACATATACAGGCAACATAACAACAAAAATTGCCAAACACATAAAAAAGAAAGGAATAACACCAGCTTTCCGAACAAATAACAACTTAGGCAAATATATTAAAAATAACAAGAGCAAAAATAAAAAACACTTAAATAGTGGTGTGTACAAACTTCAATGTGGCGAATGCCCAAAAACTCACAACGGTCAAACTGGTAGAAACTTTGATTAACGAATAGCAGAACATAAAAGGGCTTTCAAAAATAGAAAAACAGATTCGACATACACACTTCACCTTCTAGATCATAATCATTCTTTTAATGACAAATTTAAAATTCTTCACATTCAAAATAAAGGCCTTAAACTATCTTTGTTAGAATCTATGGAAATCAACAAATTAAAAAACACAGATATAATTCTGAATGACCAACTTCTCCACAGACAAACAGTTCTCCCCTTCTCAACCTATTTCATTAGAGACTATAAATTTGTAAACCCAAGCCAAAAATAGATCACTTGAGAAAGGCAATTAGCCAAAACAGCTGTAGTGATAAGATTTAAAATAAATTTTGTGGAAGTTTGGAAACAAAGTTTTCAATGTTTTATTGTTACATTTAATTTTTTATTAAAATATTTCTTACCTCGCCAATATAAAGGGGTAATATTGTAAAACAGCCAGCTTCTGCTAATCCTCCGATAAATCTTGCACTATACAATAATAATTTGGAGAAAAATGAGAGATAAATCATAGTCATGGACAAAATTTGAGGAACAGCTATCAGTAATATTGTCTTTTGTCGTCCTATTTTGTCGACTAGAGATGGGTATAATATACTTCCTAGGATATCACCAAAGGGACCTGAAAAGCGTACAAAAATTACATACGACTTAAATATATGTATATATATATATATATATATATATATATATATATATATATATATATATATATATATATTTATATATATATATATATATATATATATATATATATATATATATATATATATCTTTATTTGGTTTAGTAAGGAAGATCTTATAATAGCATTTGGTTCGTTAAGATTTATTCTGATTTTTTGAAACCGTTTGATTTCTAATATTTCGTGTAAGTCTTATTTTGTTACTTTTTTCTTTTAAATTTTTAAAGTTGTTAATGAACGCATGTTAATTTACAACTTATATCTTTTCTAATGAATGTATCTTTTTTAATAAAACGGTTAGCTGATGATAAGTTGATTTTACTATAAACAAAATTAGATTTGTGTTCAGTTATCCGTTTTTTACATTTCTTCGTGTTTGACTTACGTCTACTTTTGGACAAAATCCATCCTTTATTTTAAATTTGTTTAGGTTGTGTCTAATCGTTATTACTTTATACATACATTTTATCTTCGTCTTTTGATTCTCTTTACCCTCCCATATCAACTGCATCATGATGTTTAGTAAGTTATAATCACTGAACATTCAAAATATACTTACACACACGCTGGCTATTATCAAATAATTGCCAGTTTTATTCCCTAAATTAAATTAAATAAATAATAGTTTTAATAAAGATACTGGTAAAAATTTAATTACATATATTACTTACCTATAATTGTAATATATGACGCCTCTTCTGAAGAAATATTAAATTTATATTCATCAGACATAATCTTTGGTAGACTCGGACTCGGCCATCCAAAATGTATACCAGCGTTTAACATCGCAATCAAAGCTGCAATAGAAATTTATTTAGAGTTGTTGGCTTCATTCTGCGTAATATTCTAGGAGTCAGGCGGAGGATTAAAGATCCACTAACTTTTTTGTAATATAGTAAGTACACCGCGCATAAATCAATTTTTAGTATCTCGGCAAAAAATTTATATAAAAACAAATTGTTTTTATTTAAAATCCTTTATAAAAGGTATATAATAAAATACCCAAACGGGCTATATTACAATTACAGAACGTTTTCGGAATGTGAATTCCATCATCAGTGTAACTAAGTATACATGCTTTGAGCCACTAAACTATATGGGTAAAAACCCGTTAAATGTTGTTAAATTAAGTTTTTGATACATTATATATTATTAAAAAATTAAGATGCTCGTTATCATTGGAATTGGTAACATGGCGATGTATAACTCTACATAAGATTACTTGGTCCTGAGACAAAGTATTTACGAGGACCTGTATAAATATCTCTTAAGGGATTAGAATATTGGAATACTTTGCACCATACACAAAAAAGGAGATATCTTTTAATGCTCTAACCACGAAGCAGCGTAAAAAGATTTTTCTCAATAATATGCTTCCGTATGGCACCATATGCAGAACGAATATGCATACAGACACTGGAATATGCATAGATACTTGTCACATTTTTATAGACTACAAAACAGCCTACGACTCTGTAACTAAACCAAATATGTTCAAAGCAATTAAAGAGCTTGGACCTTAAACTTAAACTAATAGAAAAAGACTCGATTCATATTTTAGTTAAACTTTTTAATAGCATTTATACATCAGGAAAAATACCACAAGAATGGCTTTTATCCACCTTTGTTATTGTACCAAAAAAGATAAATGCCAAACAATGCAGTGATTACGGTACGATCAGTCTGATGAGCCATGTACTGAAAATATTCCTGAAAATTATACACTCTAGAGTACACAGAAAACTGGAAATGGATATCAATAATACCCAGTTTGGATTCCGAAATGGACTCGGAACAAGAGAGGCGTTGCTTGCACTGAACGTTATGTCTCAAGGATGTCTTGACATAAATCAAGATGTATTCATGTGTTTCATAGATAACAACAAGGCCTTTGATAAAGTAAAGAATAATACCACTGAAGAAATTGAAATAAAGCGAGGTGTGGGACAAGGGTGTATACTGGCACCAACCCTGTTTAATCTCTATTTCGAAGACGTAATGAATAGAACACTCTCTGAGCAATTCGTAGATATTAGAATAAATGGTTTTAGATTAAACAATCTGAGATTTGCCGACGACACCATTCTGATCTCAGAAACACTTGAAGAGTTACAGACATTGGTGAATAAGATAGCAGACTACAGCGAAGAATATGGACTATCTGTGAACATAAAGAAAACTAAATTTATGGTAATATCGAAATCAACAAAAAATGTCCAAAATTTATATTTACACAATGAAATTATCGATCGAGTTGAGATGTTACGTACTTTCTGTGCTGTTCTACGGAATGGAGTCATGGACGTTTAAAAAAGATTGATATCAAAAAATTAGAGGCATTTGAACTGTTGATGTATCGCAGAATTCTGAGAATATCATGGACCGAGAGAGTTAGAAATGTCGAGGTCTTGAGAAGAATGAATAAAGAAAAGGAAGTCATATTTACGATCAAAAAACGAAAACTGCAATACTTGGGACATATTACAAGAGGCTAAAGATATGAACTACTTCGAATAATTATGCAAGGGAAAATAGCAGGAAAAAGGTCCATAGAATTGTTTCGGTCAGTATTTTCGAAAATATGTATAGCCCTCATGATCGCCAACCTTCGGAACGAAGACGGCACTTGAAGAAGAAGAATTAAAGAGCTAGAAATATCAAATTAGTTGATAAATGTAACAAAACTCATTATCATCATCAACCTGTATGCGTCCATTGCTGGACATAGGTCTCCCTCAGCTCTTTCCAACTGTCTCTGTCTTGTGCGGCTTGTATCCAGTTACTGCTTTAGCTCGTCAGTATATCTGGTTGGTGGGCATCCTCTGCTTCTTGTCTTAAAAACAGTAACTCTTGGAAATGTATGTAGAATAAAAATTTAGAAAGAACTGGCTGAACCTTTTAAAACAAATACCGGGCTATGTCAGAAAGACTCTCTCTGTTACAGTTTAATTTGGCTCTTGAAAAAGTAATACGTATATCACAACTAACAACCACCGGTTTATTATATAAAAAATATGTGAAAATCCTTGCAAATGCAGATGATATCAATATTGTTGGGAACGAAAAACGTTGTATGAGTATGAGTGGCGTATGTAGCACTAAAAGAATCGGTTACAAAAATGAGTTTAATAATAAACATCACAAAACGAAGTACATGAAAATAATCAATCAAATACAAACCCTACGACCACTTATTGTAGAAAACGACGTCATCGAAGCAGTGAACGAATTTGTATACCTAGGAGTGCTAGTTAACATTGAAAATAATACTACCGCCGGTATAAATTAGAGTATTTGCACAACCAATTGGCCATTTTGGGCTCAATCTTCTACTTAAATACTTAATTATTATATCGATAAATATAAAGGGTAACACTCTACAAAACCATAATAGACCTAGTCCTAATATATGGTTCAGAGACCTGGACTTTAACAAAAGGTAATAAAAACATGTTGGGATGTTTCTAAAGAAAAGTACTAAGGCGAATCCATGGAGGGTAAATAACAATGAAGTATGGAGAGGACGATACAACTTCTAACTTCATAGAACCTATCAGGAAAAAGATATTGTAAAATATATTAAGATTTGACGTTTTGAGGTGAATAGGGCATGTAATGCAGATGGAACAAAATAGTTCAGCTAGAAAATCGCATCTTAATAGACCCATTAAGATTTTTTGATAACACCGATGAAGACATAAATGATAATGATAATAATGATGATGGTCTTAAGGTATACTCGAGGTTTTAATATTAACATTTTTTTATTGCAAGCTTTTAATAATATTTAGTATAATCATAGTTTTACACAGATAGTTTAGTTCTCACCGGAATCATAGATAATGTTACTGCACTCAGTTGGGTAATTTTTTACCGCAGACGTGCAAAAACATATTATTTTCAATCTAAAAACCAAGGTCGTTTAAAATTTTATAATAACAGTTAAAACATAAAGGCAACAATATAATAAGCGATCGTAAAAATCAAAAATACTAGGGAAAAAGTGGAATTGGTAGGTAAAAAAATTCATGGCTTTGAAGCGTTTGGCAATGGACTGCCTTATATGAAGAACAATATCGGCAAATAGTCATGAAAGCCTAATTTGGGCACGGGTCTTAAGGAAGAAGCTCAAAGTGGATTCGAACTTGCTTGGTCAACAATAGACCAGATAATCGCATTAAGAAAGATCGTTGATAAAAATTAGAATTTTGTATCGAAATATTTTACCTGTTCATAGATTTCAAAGTAGCGTAATTGTATGAAGTAATGTATGACTTCATAATTTGTAAAGTATAAATCCAAAACAGCTATTCTAAAGAATTTATGTACAACAAATAAGTGTTATAAGGGATGCAGAACTAAACAGCAGTCATGGTATCAAGGACCGACTATATAATTAAAATAAAATTATGACACAAAACTTTAAAATTGGTTACTATAATTTTAAAGGGTGTAACAGTTCTCTCACTTAGCACTTAAACATCGAAAATGTTTCAAATAAAATATCAAAAGTAATAATAAACAGTAAAATATTGGTCGCAAACAAAAGTTTGCGACAATATGCGTGTTTGTTTGGACATATTAAACATCTAATAAAAAAAAAAAGATAATGATATGTATATTTTTAATAACAATAATTAAAAACACCTAATTTACTGATTAACTATAATAGAATGCACGTTAAACATGTCAACATTCCACGAAAAGATCCACTGAATGGTTATAGCAAAGGGCCACATCAGATGTAAATGAATAATGAACAAGATAAAAAGTTTAACTACTTAGAAACAGATGCATCGTATGATAGAAAGACTGCAGAGGAACTGAATCAATGAGTAAATAAGACAGCCAGAATATCAGAATACCTTAACGATATTATATGAATAAGCACATATTATAGTGTTTAAGAAATACAAAACTGTATAACTTAAACGTACAAATAATATATTTGGACTTACCTGTCATAACGGCCATATACTGGGGCCATGTTTTTCCAACGTCAACAACCGGGAGCATCTTAAAATCTTTTTGGTCAAGTAGTTTAGCGCCAAAACTTTTTTGTCGTCGTTCATTGAAACAGTTCGTATAATCAATTTCAAATCTGTCCTTTCCGAATCTTTTATTGTTTTACCATATTTACATTAAAGATTTATATTTGGTCCCAAAATACATAAGATAAATGTTTTACTTGCGTTCAACTTTTATAAAGGGAATTCCGAATATGTAAAAATACCTCAATAGTTTTATTGTACCACGCTCTTTAAACATTAAGTAAACTCAGTAAAAAAGTCAACACTTTGTATCCTATAAACTATAGAAATAAGGATATTTAGCTAAAAATATGTTTTTGCTTTTAAAGTATATTGTTTTTGTTTCCAGATTACTTTTTTTGCTGTTTAAATAATTTGACTAATTCTTATTCAGCTCGACGTGCTGAAAATGAAATTAATATTAGGAAACGCTTAGAAAGTTAGGATTTTTCACAAAAAAATTTTTCTGAGCTAGTAAATTTTACACTTGTCGTTCTAAGACTATATTTTTTGTGAATATTAAATTTTGTGCTACAAATTTAGTCACCGATGCAGAAATACTATCAAACTAATTTCTGTCTTACAGACACAGCGCGAATTCAGCTCAAGGACGAAGATAATGGTGGTTAGTAGAACACGAAATATGCAATTAAATAAATGAATAAACAATAAAAACATCCAAAAGGTCTTCAAGTTCAGATATCTCGGTAGTTGGATAACTAAAGATCTAGATCCAGATATAGAGATACGTAGCAGAATTGAGCAAGCCAGAACAGCATTAACTAATATGAGAACCTTGCTAAGCAACAGCAGCCTTAACTTAACGCTTCAATATCGCTTTTTAAAATGTTACATTTACTCCATACTGCTATATGGTGTAGAAACCTGGACCATAAAGGCCAATGTGTTAAAGCGATTGAAGGCCTTTTAAATGTAGGTATTTAGAAGACTACTTAAAATTCTCTGGACAAATCACGCAACAAATGTCAAAGTATTAAATCGAATGGAAAGAGAACGAGAATTGCTGCCAATAATTAAAAGAAAAGAAACTGCTTATCTGGGTCATGTATTTCGAAATGTTTAAGTATTAGTTCTTAAAGCGTATTATGGAACGGAAGATAGAAGGAAAACGGGACATCGAAAGAAAGAAATACACATGGCTTAAAAACATAAGGGATTGGACAAACCTTGATGCCCATGCACTCTTTAGAGCCACACAAGATCGGGAGGAGTATGCCAGAATTATCGCCAACATCCACTAATTGCATAGGGCTCAGTTTGAATTCAAAGTACTTATAATATCATCATCATCATTGGCTTTTACAACTCTTCGTGAGTTTTTGCCGCGTTAACTATTGCCTTCCATTGATTCCGATCCTGTGCTATTATTTCCCATGGCCTTACTTCCATCTTCTCCAGGTCTTCCCTGACAGCGTCTTTCCACCTTTTTCTAGGCCTTCCTGTCGATCTTTTACCATCTGGTCTTTCCCAAAATACATTGCTAATCAGTCTGTCGTCATCACTCCGTACCACGTGGCCTGCCCATCTTAATCTATTGGCTTTTATGTATCTTACGATGTTTCCTTTCCCGAAGAGAGTCTCTATTTCATTGTTGTATCTGCTCCTCCATTCATTTATCACGCTGTCCCTGCAAGGACCATATATAATTCGCAGGATTTTGCGTTCCCATACTAATAGCTTATTATTATTACTTATAATAATTATTATTACTTATAATATAGCGGCATTAAAGGCACCACAGCGGCAAATGCAACTTCTGCTCGTACGATGTCAAAGCGTTTAACTCAAAATCAAAGCATTTCATTTTATAGCCAAAACAGCATGCCAAAGTAAAACCTCAGGACTCAAGCTCTAACATTAAGGATAACACTGGATTAAAATTATTCTCCGATAAGAAAATGATAAAGTTGCTGTTAAGTTACTTGGACCCCCCTGACTTAAGAACTACAGTTAATTGCTAACCGGAATGTCTTTTTTTGTAAGAAGGAAATATAATTTATTGTAGTAATATTTAATTCTAAATTTAGTATCAAACTACTAAATAATGTATATTACTATAAACTAATAGATATTGTAAGGTCATGTAATATCGACGATAAAGACTTAAGGATCATTTCAAACCTCTACCAAGAACAAAAGGCTAAAATCATAATAAAAAGCGAAACATCTGGAAAAATTAATATCGAAAAGGGAGTAAGACAGAGATGTGTCCTATCACCTTTGCTGTTCAATGTTTACTCTGAGAAGATATTTTAGAAAGCTCTGGAAGGCATTTCGGATGGTATAATAAACGGGCAATGTATAAATAACCTGCGATATGCTGATGACACTGTGATACTGGCAGATAATGCTGAAGCCCTGCAACGCTTAATGGACCGAGTAACGATAGCCTGTAGAGAATTTGGAATGAAATTGAATACAAAGAAGACAGAAACGATGGTCATCAGCAAGCACCAAAACAGAAGGGTAAAGGTCAATGTCGACGGAACAGATCTGGAAAGAGTAACAAAAACAACGTACCTTGGAAGTAATCTTAATGAAACTTGGGACCACTCACTAGAGATTAGAATACGCCTGGAAAAGGGACGTACAATGTTTTACAAAATGCAAAAAGTTCTATGCAACCGCCAGCTGGGCGTCTCATTGAGAACTAGAATACTTAATTACTATGTTTTCTCCACCTTGCTTTATGGTGTTGAAGCCTGGACAATGACAGAAGCAACACAAAAAAGAATCCAAGCATTCGAACTCTGGTGTTACCGTAAAATGCTCAAAATATCCTACATGAGCCATACGACAAATGCAGAAGTCTTGCAAAGGATAAATAAGGAAAGAGAGCTTATGCTTATAATAAAAAAAACGGAAAACACAGTATTTTGGTTACATCATAAGAAATCAAAAGTATGAACTGCTCCAACTTATAATCGAAGGCAAAGTCAATAGCAAAAGAGGACCAGGAAGAAGACACAACTCTTGGCTTAAAAACCTACGGCAATGGACGAACATGACCTCCATAGGACTATTCAGGGCTGCTACAACTAAGATTAGATGGGCAAATGTAATGGCCAACATCCTTAAGGATAAGGCACCGTAAGAAGAAGAAGAAGAAATAATGTATCTTTATCAACTGATCGATAATTTTACTCTATAACGGTGGTTTATATCCTTCTGTTTTTGTTGAAATATGTGTTCTTCTAACTACTTACGAAAATGTTAAAGAAGAAGTACAAAAACAAAGCTTAAAAGCAAGTAAAGCGGCGGGATTTCTTAATCTGAAATACGAAACAGAATCTGGAAGAACAAACACCTAAGACAAGACACAAAGACAAGAATCTATAAAGCAGCAATTAGACCCATATTAACATACATGGCGAAGACAAGACCTGACAAATCTAAAACCAGATGACTACTAAAAATAACAGAGACGAAAATACTTCGACGAGTATCAGGGAAAAGTCTGCTGGATAGGGAGAGAAGCGAAAACATAAGAAGAGCATGCAATATAGAGGAGATAAATGAATGGGTGACAAAACGGAAATAGGATTGGAACTAACACATTGGTAGAATCGCAGAGGGTAGGATAGTATGAATAGCACGAGATAAGTCACCAAATGGACGAAGAAGTACTGGCAGACCAAGAAAAAGATGGTGCGACAATTTAAACAATTTGGGAGGCTAATATAGAAGAAGAAGTAGGCCTTTAAGCCTACAGATAATAAGGAAAAAGAAGAAGAAGAATATGTGTTTTTCAAGTAGACCTACGACAACTTAGCAAAGATTTTTCAAAAACTCAAATATGATGATTACGGTTAAGTGTGCTTTGATTTGAAGACTTTGTGTATGCAACTAATGCAACAAACCGATTAAACCAAATTTCCTTGTTTTTATATGTATGATATTATTGCGAGACCGCAAAAATCACTAGTTAATGGAGAATTGGAAGACAAGGACTCTTATGGTTTTTTCCATAAACTCTCTCTGGTGTAAACCGGTCATATTACGTTTAGTTGGCTTATTGTACATATTCTATTTACTAATGATTATGTCATGACAGTCATGCTAGATATAGTTGACCGTTTCAGATCCTAGTATACATTAGAAAGTTTCCCAATAATGACATTAAATTAATTATTGAGGACATGGACGCTAAGGAAGGACATAAAGAGATGTATAGACCAACCATATAATCTCATAGCCCACACGAAGAATGTAATGATAATGGGACGAGACGTAAATTTCACAACATCTCAAAATATGACGATCAGTAGTTCAAACTCTCTCTGGACATCTCCAGATCACCAGACCCAAAATCAGATAGACCACGTACTGATTGATTTAAGACTTCGATCAAATGTACTAGACTACAGAAGCTATAAAGGCTCTACTATTGACTCCGATCAATATTTCATAGCTAGGAGACTCAGAGCACGTATATCTAATGCCAGGAACGATAAGACTAAGCCAAAAATATACAAATATAAGATTAATAAATTAAAGTTAGAAAGCACTCACGTTAATTTCTCTTGTACACTGCAAGATTGCAAAAATATCTGCCTTAACTATAGGAGTATATTATGTAGCTATTGTATTGTATTGTAGCAATCTTTTAATTTACACCACTACAAAATAAATCTGCTCCCTACTCTTCTGCAGCGTACTAGGGATAAATCTGCATTCTTATTGGAGTATTTCCTCTGTTCCATCCCTTTCGTGGCAAATCTCGACTTGGAAAGGTATTTTAGGCCTAATTAGTATATTTAGTTATTTCTAATTTAATTTATGATGCTACTCTGTCCTAATCTAACCGTTTCGTTATTTGGGTTTTCTCACATTTTTTAATATCTCATAGTCTCATCCCCCTTTTTAGAGGAAAATGTCCAGTAGAGTCTTCATAGCTGCCGTTGATGTAGCCCTCATATCCTCTTGATTTCAAGTAAAACAAGCCTTTGTATCGTTTTTTAGTTTGAGGATGGCACATTTTTACTGCACCTCTGTCCACCATACCACTTATGCATATGCAGTTGTTAGTT